AACTAAAAACTAAAAAAAAAAGAGTTTATTCTTGAATATTTATATCAGGGGAAGATGGTACAGATACTGATATGTGTGCATGTATTTATGTTTACATGTATCATATACGTACGTATATTATATACATGTATATGTAGTTCAAAAAACATCTTTGGAATATGGACTAGAAAAGAAGCAAACAAGAGGACGAAATAAAATGACACATGAACATACTACGAAAAAAAACGCGCTAAATTCTCGCAAAAAATCGTCAGAACATCCAAAATCTTTTATTTATTCAAAATAACTAGAAAATCGCTCAATAAAAATTGCGAGTTTGATACGTGTTCAAAAATCCTCATTTCGGGATTTGAAAAAAATATATTCATTCAATTCATTCTTGTTTTGTCATATCCAGAGAGAGAGAAAAAAAATAGATACATTCCTTCGACCTCGTTAACTCGAACTAATTTCAATACAATGACACTCCTGGACTTCGACATCACGATATGACATGACTTATCTCGCTTCCTGTGGCAATAACGGGGTTTAAAAGGCAGCATTCAGTCCCAGTGATTCATAAATAATCAAGAATAAGACGTGACCTTTCCACGACATAAGATTTTTCCAAGGCAGAGCGAAGGGAAGAGAGAGGGAGGGAGGGAGGTGGAGGCAATAAGAAAATGTGGAATAACAACAACAATAATGTTAATAACAAGTGTAACAATAATAATAATAATAATAATAATAATAATAATAATAAAAGTAATAGTAATAATAAGAGTAATAATAATAATGATGGTAATAGTATAATAATGATGACAGTAAATAATAGTAATAATGATAATAATAATAATGATAGGAATAATAATAATAATGATGGTAATAGTAATAATAAGAGTAATAATAATAATAATAATAACAATAAGAAATAATAATAAAAATAAAAATATCAACTACAACAACAACAACAATAATAATATTAATAATAATACTAATAATAAAATAATAGTAATAATAATAATAATAATAATAACAATAATGACAGTAAAATAATAATAATAATAATGATGGTAATAGTAATAATAATAATAATAATAATAATAATAATAAAAGTAATAGTAATAATAAGAGTAATAATAATAATGATGGTAATAGTAATAATAATAATAATAATAATGATGGTAATAGTAATAATAATAATAATAATGATAATAATAATAATAATAATAATAATAATGATAATAATAATAATAAAAGTAATAGTAATAATAAGAGTAATAATAATAATGATGGTAATAGTAATAATGATAATAATAATAATAATAATAATAATAAGAGTAATGATGACTGTAATAGTAATCATAACAGTAATAACCATTATAATAATAACAATAAGAAATAATAATAAAAATAAAAATATCAACTACAACAACAACAACAATAATAATATTAATAATAATAGTAACAATAATATTTAAAATAAGAACAATAACAGTAACATAATCATAATAATATTAATAACGATGATAATATAATAATAATAATAATAATGATGATAACAAGGAGCAATCTTAAGTGATAAACATAACAACAACAACGATAATTGCAGTGATAAGCATAATAATAATACTGATACGGACAGCAAACGGCAATCACGAGTAGACAGGAAGTGCCACACCAGCACACGTACAGAGAGAGCCAAGTGCGATCCAGTCCAGGGGCTTGAAGAGCGGGCATGGGCACAGCAGACACCCTCCCTCCCCCACCCTCCCCCCCACGTACCTTCCGATGGGCCCCGCGCCTTGCCCCGCCCCCTTCGTCGAGGTCTTCCGCTCTGGCACTGCCTTGGCACTGGCACCGCTCGCACGCCCCAAGCTCTCTTTCGGCTCGCTAAAAATAGGGCAGTGCTTGAAGGCCTTGTGGTGTTTATTTATTTACCTATTTATTATTTATTTATTTATTATTGTCTTTTTTTCTTTAAGTATGGGGGGAGTGGTTTCTATTTCTTGTGATGAACAACATTTCAATGCATTTTGTATTTTCTTCATTTTTTTGACGTCAGATAATTTCATCCATTCAACTTGGGAAAAATAACGCTCAGCGCTCTTTTTCTTAATCATAATAAAAACAACAACGTCATAGCGCGTATATCATCATTACGATTTTTACCAAACGTGTTTTAAACATAATCCATAATTATAAAATACTCCCGCTGATTCGACTGTCCTTTAAATGACTCAAAACATGCTGTAACCCCATGACAATAACAAAAAAATAAATAAAAAAATACGATAACAATAGCAATGACTATTTAATTCATCTATTCATTCAACACACGAAAAAACTATCCATTTCCGTTTCATTCGTTACGCGAGCTCTATCATTAACCTCAAATGCCGGCCAAACAACTCGGCCAAATACATTTTAATTTCAACCACTGCGGTACCTTCGTTAATCAATACCGTGTGAAGTAATTAAAACGAGGTGATGCGCAGGTTCAAAAAAGGGAGAAAAAAAT